TTGAGGGTTCAGCCTCCTGATGAGTCGGTGAAACTCCAACGAAACAGTTTGTCACAGCCCCTCGTTTGTTGTCCTCTTCTCTCTCTCTGCCTACGGTTTTACCGGGCAGTTCTGTTTGTGACGATATATATATATATACATGCTGCGATGGTCCTTGTATCATCCAATTTCTTCTTCACCCCCACGATGCTCACGTCCTGCCCCTGCTTGCTCATCTGCTGCTACCGCAGTTTCCACTGCTGCAGTCTCCACTCCTGCAGTTTCCACTGCTGCAGTGTCTACTGTTGCGGTTTCCACTGCTACAGTGTTCACTGCTGCAGTTTCCACTGCTCCAATTTCCACTGCTGCTGTGTCCATTGTTGCGGTTTCCGCTGCTGCAGTGTTCACTGCTGCAGTTTCCATTGCTCCAGTTTCCACTGCTCCAGTTTCCGCTGCTGCAGTTTCTACTGCTGCGGTTTCCACTGCTGCAGTTTTCAGTACAACAGTTTCCCTAACTGTACTTCCCCCTACTTTAGTTTTTACTGCTACAGCTTCCCGTCCTGCAACTCCAATGCGAAGAACATCACAATCTCTCCGACGCTCACGTCCTTTGCTTTGAAATCTTGCCCGATGCACCCCCCTCTCATCTTTGTCTGTGCTTGGCCGTAGACGACTACGTTCCTCCTCACCACCCCCGTCTCCTCCATGTTCTCGCTTGCGAACAGACTCTCCAATTCCCGTTGTCCCCATTGTTCCACCTGCGTTGCTAGGTACGAGTTCAGCTTCTGTTTGCAACACCACTACTCCTCTTGTTGTGTATCACCGACGACATCCACAACATCGTCACTTGTCTGGGGATCAGCAACCTGTTTCTTTGTCTGCCGCGATTCTCTCTGTGCCTCCTCCACAGGTTGTTGCGGTTCCTTTGTTTCAAATGACAACATCCGCTCCTATGACTCCTGCAGACAGCCACCAGTCCCTACTCAGGATGCAGCCGCTGCCCAGAGTACACTCCCAACTCCAGGTATAGTCCCTACTCAGGATGCAGCCCTAAATGTTGAGGGATTGGAACATGATCTGCCCGGATCGCAGTTGACCCCACAAGGAGTAGACCACATGGGGGATCTGCAAATGGCTGACCATCATTGTGCGAATGAAGCACAATTTTGTGCTCCGCCACACGCAGACCACATGGGTGATCTGCAAATGACTGACCAGCAAACAACCCAACACAGTTCGGGCTTGCAACACCATCTGGGTGATCTGCAAATTGTTGGCCAGCATCCAACAAACCAGCCTGAGAGATGACACGGAGGGAGGGCTGACCACCATTTTTTGTTTTTTGAAATTTCTAATAATGTTTAAATTGTTTGCTAGAGAGAGAGAGAGAGAGAGAGAGAGAGAGAGAGAGAGAGAGAGAGAGGGAACCTTTCCGCTGAGTCGGAGTTCAAACTGGTGGTGGAAGCACCCAAAAAAAAAAAAAAAAAAA